TTTCCTCAGGCTTTCTGTTTTCTTCTACAACAACAGTTTTTGTTCTCTTACTGATTGAGAACTAAAATGTTGAAGCAGACAACTCTCAGTAGAATTAATAGTACATATATGTGTTCTGTTCCCATGTATTAAGATTGTGTCACAATGGCTGTCAAAGAAATTATCTAAATAAGTAATATCCAAACTGTGAAAATCAGATACTATTTTTGCAGTTGTTATAACACAAGCCATTTATATTCATGTTGCAAGCAACAAGAGATTTTTGCATGCAGCTTTTCCATTTCCATATAAATGGATTATGTGCATGTTTTATATACATGCTTTATAGCACATGTAATTAATTAGTATTTGAAGTCTGCTTTATGGATTTCCCACTAATGTTTAAAATTTTGGAGTGGCTCAGTTCTATTGCGGAATACACCTTTCTGAATCTACTGGAATTGTATTTTACAGCTCTTAAATCATTTTTCAACATTTGAAATTCAACATGTTGCACTAGGAAAAAAAGATTAAGTGCGGCAAAACTTCACTGCTAATTATAAATCCTGTGGGAAGGGAGACAGTCACTGCTTTGCTTTAGGTAATAAAAAGTAATGTGTACAAATCATGTAAACAGCATTTATTCAGCAAGAAGTGCAGAGCTAAGCCACAGCACCAGATTTTTACAACTTATTTGGACAGCCATATATTAGCATCTGACACCGCTAAACCTCATTACTAACTTAAGAATTATAATGTTTATGGCATTTTGTCATGTGCTTTGCATTCCTTCAAAAACTTGGTAGGAGCACAGAAAGCACAATCCAAAAAATTAAATACATGCCTTAATCTCAGCACTGTTGAGGACAAAGACCCAGTTATCTGACAAGGCACTATAGTCTAGCAGTCACAAAAGAATTACTTCTGTTTTTCTGTAGGATGGCAATCTGATGCTTATAAAGGTTTCTATTTAACTTCTTACTATTTCATCAAATAAACACCAGATTAGCTATACTGTATGTTAGGCTGAAAATTTTATAGTCTGGCTAAGTAATCAGAACATTTTGTTTTCTAACAATTAAAAAAACTGAGTTACAGAAAGTAAATTCACATTAAGACAGGATGATTGAGAAGTTGTTACAGTATCAGGCTTACTGAATTAATGTAGTAAATTGGCCTTTTCTCATTTTCCATACCATTTGTAAACTAATAGCTCAGAACTCCCTTAAACTTTTTGCTTTAGAGATAGAACTTACTTTTCTTTGCAATGAATACTTAGTGAAAAAGTAACTGACAACAAAAATCACAAAAAGCAATGTTGGATTTAAAACTGCGAAGACATTTTTTCTAGTATCTTCTGCTCTCCTCAATCAAAATCACAGAATTCAGAAAGCTGTGGCTGAGAAGCAGCTGGGTGCACAAGCCATGGCAATAAGTAGTCTTGTTATAATTAGATTTGCAAGCTTATCCAATATTATTATATATTAAAATAATAGATTATGTTATTTATCTATTATATTAATATAACGATTATATTATCTTACTTCTATTATAATAATATAATTATTGTATTATAATATATTATCTATTAAAAGTAGAAGGGTGCTTTCTGCACCATAATAATAATAAAATCAAGCAGCAGCTCTGCAGAGTTTGGCAGTTAATACTGAAAACTAAGGTACCAGTTTCTGATACAGTCCTGTTCCATTCGGCCACTAGATGGTACTACATCACAGTTGGTAGAGAAATCCTTGGCCACCGGTTTGAAATTATTGCTATGAATGATTATTTAGAATTGTAAATTATCATAACATTTAGCAGTAATGATTTGTTTGCCCAGTTTTCCTGTACATGATACACACACACACACACACACACACACACACACACACACACAAATATAGAGGATACATAGAAGAGGTTTAGAAACATTTCTTCATTGGATTCTCTAATATCACTTAATGAGTCTGTTCCTTACCAACCAATACAAACGTACCTGTGATTACCGATACAAATGTAACTATGATGTTTCAAAGACACAGTGACAAATACTGCCTTTTCTTCATTGCATGTGGTAAACAAAATACTCCTTTGGAGTCTGTGCTCCCCAGACAGGAACAAATGGCATCCAAACACAACCCAGTGAAGTGTACAAGCCCAAAATTAGAGATACAATAGTTTTCACACTTCAGGAATTTGGAGATGATTCCTTGCTGACTTGGAAACATTCATACCCACTATCCATATGTAAGCAACAGAATTAAGTGCACTGTAGTGGTAAATCAAGCTCACGAAGCCCAAGCCAAATAAAGAGCAATAGCCATTTAAACATTCAGGTTTTACCTGTTTTACTAAGAGCTGTTGATATACGGATTCACTTCCAACAGATTATATATGGTCCCCTTTTTTTTTTTTTTTTTTTTTTCATGCATATATCAAACCAAATCACATTTCCACAGATTTTCTATTCCTCTTTTACATAGTTTCCTCACTAAACTGCTGTATTGGGTCCTATGTTATTGGGTCATGAGGCTGTGTACTGTCAAACTTCCTTCGCTCCAAAATACTTTTTCTGTGCCCTGATGCATTCTTTAGCAAAGACTGTTAGCATCCTACCTCCTACTAGAAGTTAAACTTCTGAAATCTATTCTTTTTTACATGTGAGACTTCATGTATCTGATCACATGAAGCAGGATGTGTAACATGAGGGTCAAATCACATGATAGGCAAAGGCCATAGGGCTGGACAGCATATAGAAAAATCCCTTTCAAGAGGACTTCAGTGAATGCAGAATCTTGGCAGAAAACATGCAGTCTTCCACTGCTGGGAAATGCCAAATAATCCCCTCGCACTGCTGGGAAATGCCAAATAATCCCCTCGCTTCCTGACCAGTATCAGGCATAGATGAACCAGAAGTCACTGATCAGGCTGATTAGCTCTCACTGGTATGCAGGGTCCCATTGCAAGAGACAGAGCGTAGTACAGTGCTGCAAAAGACTCGTATGCATGAAGTCTGAGATAAGGGACCACACAGCTCTGCAACACCCCATAGACCCATGCTGAATACCACATTCCCCAGCACCATAATCATGTTCCCTCCCAAACCTTCAACTACATGAGCACAGTGACAATACAGAGAGAAGTCATTGGTGGAATTCTGCAGGGGATCGATTCTTCTTAATAAACTCACAGATGTATTGGAAAAAAGGTCTTAGCAGTGAGGTGGAAAAGTTCGCTGAAAATACACATTTAGTCAATGTAGGAAGTGTGGGGGCTAAATGCATAGAAATGTAGATGGGCCATAAGACTAAGTGACTAGGTAACAAAATGGCAGAGGAAATTTACTGTAGATAAATGTGAAATAAAGTATGTGGGCAAAAGTGTTCTTGGCTTTATGAATAAAATGATGAGCTCTGAGCTGCCTGTTACCACTCATAAGTGAAAGTTTGGGATTGTGACAGATAGAGAGTTTCATAAAAACATTAACTCAGTGCATGGCAGCAGTCCAAAAATGCAAATGTTTGGAATTGTCAGGAAAGGAAAAAAGAACAAAACAGGAAATATAATTATGCCAGTCTATAATGCCATGGTTTGCTCACACCTGGAATACTGTGTGCTGTTTTGGTGCTTGCATCTTGAAAATGATACATTAGATCTGAAAAAAAGTTCAGAGAAAGGCAACATTGATCAAACGTGTGGGATGGAATGGTTTCCATAACTGAAAATTATGAAAATAATTGATCAGGCTAGAACTTCTTATTCTGGAAAAGAAACACTTTGTGGAAGAAGCTGAAAAACGAGGAAAGGAGAGGGTGAGAATGAAAGGATCAGATATGCAAGTACGGGAAACTTGGGTACACTGAACACAACAGCACCCACTGCTTCTGAAAGGTGTCCAAGGAGCTGTTGGGTCCTGCCTAGTTGTGCTTTATTCAGCAACATAACAGGATAAGGAAACAGAAAATGGCTTCACAGTGAGCTGGTTCCCCCTTGGCAATCTTCCCCCTCTTCTTGGGTTTGGTGAAAAGCCAGGCGAGGCTGGCAATGGCAGTAGGACATTGACGAAGAGGTCCTCCAAATTAGAAGGTACTTAGATGCACCACTGTTCATTCATTTTTAATTACTGAGTAATTTGTAAGATGAATGAAATCAGCCAACCACTGAGCAGGCAGATCAGTGGGTCCATCCAAAGACAGAAGTGAGGGCCGCCGTACTTTCGGAACATGTATCAGAATGCATCAGCTAGCAATTTACAGAAAGCACACTTTTAAATCCTAGTAAATACAAGCCCATGCTGTATCAGGCAGGATTGTCATGTTGCTGTGATTCATTAACTTTTTAATATTTCAACAAATGTGTAGGGTATCTGAAATATATCCATTTCTAATGAGATGCCTTGAACTACAAACAGGAAATATCATCATTGAAATCCAGACATGACAGTGTTCAAACATAATTGTAACTTCTTACCTGTAATGATCTTTACACTACCGATGTAGTAACTCTCATGTAGAAATGTCAAGCAGCATTCCAGTCAACCCCCAGTGCTGCCAATGCCATGCAGTGTTTTCAAAAAGCAGGACTGATTGTGTCCCATATTCTGAACAGAGCAATTCTGTAGGTGCAAATTCATTCCCTTTATTCTGAAAGCAGGCTCACAGGCTTAAACAATACTACTCTTCGTTTCCCCTCCAAAATGCTATGTTTTGTCTGGGGAAAGAAGTTGAGAGGATAGGTGTTTCTGTAACATAGTAACTAGAAAGGAAAAAGTGGAGGCTAGTGCTCTTGTTTATTCTACCTCACATTTTCCTACTTCCAGGGATTACTTAGGGAAGTAGTCAGTCCTCAAAAGAGCTTCTAAGGCCATGTTCGGTAAGGAAATATGGATGGTCACATTTTTCTCAATATCATAATGATTCAGAGTCACACTGGAAATAGAAAAATCCGGCTCTCCTGATGAAATTTATGTAGGAAGAATCTGTAAGAGAAAATTCTCATGGATTATGCACCTCCTCATACAGGGTATTTTGCAAGAGGGGATGGATTGAGCCACTGCAATCAAGGATCAAGAGAAGCAGGAACAGCCACTTCTTGCCAGCAATTACTGAGACAAAACCTTGACCGGCTTCCTCCAAACATCTGCTACTTGGCATGACCACGCCACTGCTGATATTATTGCTGTGTGGGTGCCATCCCTAATCGTGCATGTATTTTTAGTGCAAACATGTTTTGTAAATTGGGAGCTAATACAGCAGGTAATATGCATATGGAAAAGGTTTTATTCACATTATATCTGCTCCCAAATGTTTACTGAGGTTCAAATGAACCAAGGGACTGCACTGTTGTCCTTCTCTACCACCTGATATTTTTATGACATGCATCAGCAATAAAAACTAGGGTTGACATACCTAGTAATTGTTACCAGTTAGCTTGTGGCTTTTGGTATCACAGCAGTCATGTCAAGGTCAATTCATCCAGTAGCATTGGCTTATTTGACAGGAAGCTGCTCATCTCAGTTTGGAACCTGGAACAGATAAGCTGTGGCTATAGTCAGCAGTAGAAAGAAGTATAAAAGAAAAATGGAGGATGAGAAGAGAAAAGCAAATAAAGATGTCAGAACAAGTGTCTTTCCCAAGTCATTTTGGAGATTTCTATTCTGGAAATACCATCAAAATTACTTTCTGGTCTGTTATTAGAATTTCTTGCAACTATTGGAACATTAGCAGTTATCAGATACTGCAGTTAATTGGACTGTAAGTATAGTATGTCATGATAAAGACAAGACTTTCTTTAGTAGCCTGCTCAGCTCAGGGTAATAACTTGCATTTTCATCTATATAAATTGTCACCACCATAAACTACCTTTGCTACACAAAATGTAAAATATGACAAGTTCTAAGATATTATAGATAACTAAAAGGCACGTCTGACTAAAGTCAGTTGCTTATATAAGCTAACTACACTTATACAGATTGGGTTGGGGTTTTTTTCCATAAAAGATACCGACTGTGGTAACCATTACCATAGCAATGCATTATACATGCTTCCTGACACAATATCCCATGTCTCAAAATATCCAGAACCCAATTATCTATTCTCCCTGGAATCTGCTTGCAACAAAACCAGAAATAGGATGAAGGTAGCTTTTGGCCTTGAAAACATTTTTTCTGATCTTTGAATTTCCCTAATTTTTGGCTTCTACAGTTAATTAGTGCAGCCTTAGACTACTTTAACATATTTTTGGCTATTCTTGGCTAGGAACGACCGAAAGGTTGTTCTTTGCATCATAAAGAGTCAGAGTACAGCAGCAATCCACCTAGATGCCATACTCTGGGAGCTGTGGTGGGTCTACTGTATGCTTATTAAGCCATCTTTTCACTATCCAGAGAGCCTTTTTGCTTTATGTATGCTTCCCAGGTACACTTTGCATTGTTATACTAGCCCAGACAAGGGCATCAGGCCTTACAGCTGCCTGGCCAGCTAGCCAGCCAACCAATATTCTCATCTTAAGATGATTCTTCCCTTCTGTAATGGTTTACTCTTATAAAAGTGAGGGGGTTTTGGTAAAGATTAATAAAATGAAAGTATCAGTTTTGAGAAGGGGTATGTGTGAGAGGAGGTGGAGTTAGTAGTATGCATACCCACTGTTACTGTGCTGATCAGTGACTTGGGTTATGCATATATTTTTGCCATAACTTAATTTACATTTAAACCAGTCCTTGAGTAAGAGATCATAACAAAATGACTGCATCTTAGTAAAAACTTCTCACAGAAGTATTCTGTCTTAAAACTTGGCTGTAGAAAGATTATCTCTCTGTAATTTTACATATTCGTTGCTATAGTTCTACCACAACAGCACTGAATCACAAAACTGCCATAAAAATATTTATTCTATGAGTGCTGTTGGCATATGCTCTGCTTGCATACTCAGGAAAAAAATGTATTAAACTATATGTAATCATATCATTTAGACCTCTCTGTCATAGCAATGATTCCATAAGGACATACTTAGATTGTAGATACTTCTAGGTTGGAATACACACTTATCAGTCTCACCTGGGAACTCCAGGCACTGAAGTCCCACAAACAACAGTAGTAACAATATTAGGAAGAAACAGATACTCAGTTTATGGAAAAAAAAAAAAATCGTTGTTGCTTTTGGTATCATTCACTATAGATATTGTACAATGTTTTGGAAACTATTGTGCTGGATATTGCATGAATAGTCATGTGAATCTCAGTGCAAAGTTTTTAGAGTTCTTGCAGTGAAAATATATGTAGATGTTTACTGTGCAAGCTAATGATATCTCAAGAGGCAGAGCACTATATACACAATCATTTAAAGCAGTATTTCAATCAATCCAATTACTTTTTTTTCCACATATTTTAAGACTGCTCTATAAAGAAGAAATTGTGCTATCCACAAACCTAGGAATAAAGCAAAGCATTAAACTTAGAATACCTTTTAAATAAATATATTGATGCTGATGCACATTCTTCACTAACATTTAAATCTAAGTGGAATGTTGAACACACAACACAAAATTACAGTACAGGCACTGCAATCCTCAGGATGTTTTACAAAGCCAGAAGACTGACAAACGCAGACCCAGGATTATGAATTAATTTTAGAAGGCATCAAATAATTTGTAACCACTGTCCAATCTCAAGATTAATTGAATGATTTTTGAGAAAGCTATACATTAGTCTACACTGGCAATGAAATGCTTGTACAGAAATGGCCCAAATAAATGTTCATTAATAGATCAAAGAGATTATTATCTTCTACTTACACATTTTTCTTTATGGTGCATATGTCACAGCCATATAAATGATCTTGAATACTCAGATTCAAGACAGTTTCTTTTCACAGTAAAGTTTGCCCCATATCTTAAGTTTTAACGGTAAATATGGATGAAGATTTTCACCTCCTGTTTAACCTCATTTATTGACATAAGTAAGATTTGGGAAAAGAGTCGTAGGGTAATAACATTCAAGTTTTGGTGTTTTATTAAAGAGTTTAGCATTAGAAATACTGTCTGTATTTTAAAGGTCTTATTTTACAGGAATAGTAACCATGATGGTTTTATTCATTGTTTTTTTCTGTTCATTTATGAACACAATTATAACTGAGATGAATGGAATTACCTGTAAGTTAATTTGGCCTTCTATCTTTATTTCTAAATTTATAGTTACCATGGGAGGAAAAAAAAAAAAAACAACTTGCCAGTAATATAGAAAGCAGAGTAAGAACTGATGATTGGTGGTCTATAGCAGCCAAAAGAGCAAAGGAAATATTAGGGAAATACTGTTTACTGTTCTTTTTCCTATATCCTAGAAAAGAATAAATAAAAAATCAGTAAAAATAAAATTAAAATTCTTAGGCAATATATATTATTACTCTAATAGGCAAAGATATCTGTCCTGAGTTTGAAAAAAGGGACCATTTGATTCAGAGTAGAGAGTAGGAAAAGGCAAAGATATATAGAAGATATGAATTGAATTTTTAGAGAATGTATATCAAGAATCTCTTCTTACTTTTTGTCCTCAGACTAGAAAAATGGAGCTTGAAAGGGTAGAGAAGAACAGAGCAATTAAGTACTATTTTTAATTCTTTTATCAAAATCATAAGTAATTTGTAGAATTTATTGCCACCAGACATGATCAAAATCATTAATTTAATGGGATTCAGAACTGGGTTTTATTTTTGCACAGATAACATACACTTCTATAATTGCACTAACAGTAACTTTATTTTCCCTGCCATATTGTAGACCCACATCTAACAGAAGTGTGTTTAGAAAAAACACCTCCTAGAAAGAGTTTACTCTTACTAAAATCCAAAGATAAGGCAGCTGTGGTAACACAGGTAGTCCATTCTTTAGACTCTATAGGGCTTGTGCAGGAAAACAGAATCTATGCTACTCTGTGCCATCTGCAGTGCTTTACGAGAAGACTAAAACCAACCAAACAAAAGAAGATAAAAAATGATGGCATCTGAATGACCACAGCCTATACCATATTTGCCAAAATAGCCCTGCAGCATTACCCGAAGAATTTCAGAATGCAGTGAATCCTTGTCTATTGGTTCTGCCTTTTATCAAGATTTATGTTCCACTGGGCCAACTAGTCTCATGGCTTTAGTAAGACCCAATCAATCAGCTGTTCCAGGAACAGTCTGGTCCTTTATGTTCACTGGTTCCTATCTCTTATTTTCTTTTCAAGGCTACTTTCATAACTCTAAATTAAAGGAGTAAAATAAAAACACTGATTAGAAGTTTCAGTATGTTTCCTACATTTATAATGTCTCTAGAAACCATTGATGTGATTTTGCATAGAAAATAAAAATACTTTGACTTTTTACGACATTATATTTAAAAATAATACTGTAAGTTTTAAATTAGCTATTTAATGTTTAAAATGAAACACTTTTTGTCCTAGCATTACTGAATATTTTTTTACAATTTAAATACCACAGAATATCTTAAATATGTTTTCTGATAGATCTGGGGCAGCAAATCCCTTCTGGACATTTATCTCTGAAATTACATTGAGAGGAATAAACAGCTGTCGGGAATATAAATGCTAACTCATCAGAATGCTGACTCAGTGCTGCAGAAATCAAAATATGTTCATACACTGCAGAGGTAACATGTCATACACCAACTAGTCATAGTTTACGTTGGTCAACCATAAAACCAGTTGAACTGAAACAAGGGAGCAGAAATCAAATTATAAATAGGGAAAATTTTAAGGTCCTTGTAAAGACCTGCTATATGACTGAAAAAATAATAACCATCAAAGTCAGGATGTGTTAATCTGTCACCTTCAGCAATAACAAACCTACTCATTAACAAGGATTATCTCTTGAATCATCATGTGATTAAAGGCCCACTTCTGCTTTCCTTGCAATTAATAGAATTTATTAATTTCATGGAAGCAGGATTTAGCAATGAATGAACTGGACAGTCATTCTGCAATGCCATATTTATGCTAAACATCCCATTAGAGACATTGGTCCAATTTTGTCAGTAGATAAGAGTTGAATGCTAGTGACTTTTCCTACTAAGATTTCTTAAGGGTGGAAATTTGTTGCAGGAGAAAGTGACTGTATTTTACTAAAATATCTGATGCACTGCCAAGAGATGTGAGATTTTTTTAAAGTAAGTTTTGTTCTGGTAATAAATTCTCTTAGGAAAATAACTGCTATCTAGGCATTATTTCGGGACTTTTTATCCAGACTAAATTTATCTTTGATACCTTAGGTCAACTATTTTGACTTCAGTTGAAGCTCTCTGCACTCTGTCGTGATGATTTTGGCTCAGTCTGGAGTTTTGTCAAAGCAAGTAATGACCTGTACTAATAGCTCGCTGTATGTTTTCTGATGGAACAAATTACCTTACATTTCACGCGTTTCTTGCTTAATATCCCAAAATTGTATATACACGTGAATGTATGTGTATATATTCCTAAAACCATTTCTACAGTTGCTGATTTTCCCTTTCATATTTTTTCACTGATCTGC